CAAGGAATTTGTCTTCACTCCACCAAGGATTGCCTACATTGCCGACACAGCAGGCATTCAGCGAGGTGTGCCACGTTGGAGAATCTTGACAACGAGGTTCCACTCTGGCCCACTGACAAGGTTTTGTTGAAGCATGCCCTCCACGTGCTGGCTTCAGAGTGGTGAGGTACAGCTCCCAAAGAACGACGCCCTCGAGGTAGTCGAAAGGTCGCATCGATACTGGATACAAAACCATTTACTTCAGAACTGTATTGAACATGACACCGAGAACTACAAAAGTTGGGCACAACAAATGGTTCTGATCGAGAACAATACACATACAGTAATCCAATAGGCTGCCCAGGGTTGTTTGCATGACCAACCAGATCCGGATAATGTTTCAAATACAAAATGTAGATGCAATATGTTACTAATGTTACCGGTACCCAGTTCGGAAGGCACAGCTTCCAATAACCAGCACGTTAAAAAACTGAGTCGCATGATGAAATGATGCAGGTCCTTCCTGTGCCAGAAAGGCTCATCTTCTGCTGCTTGTGAGATGCAAAAGCCTTGGAGAATGAAGGGAGAGAGACCAGCGGCAAATGAAGGGTGACTGGATGAGTGATGGAGGGGTTACAGAGGAGACTAGGAAGGAGACTGCGAGTGAGGACAGGAAGAAATGTAAGCAGGAGGATGACCAGGAGTGAAGGGAGAGGGACAGACGGATGAAAGGTGACGGCAAGAGTTTAAGAAAGTGGGGAGGGAACGAAGGGAGGGAGAATGCTTGTGGGAACCATTATATACAATCGCTGCAGCTTTTCTGCTTTCTTTGGATTACTGTGGCATCCTAACATGGGGGAACTGGTGGCTGATAAAGCAAAGGAGCCAGGTGGTGCGGGGAATCTGGGAACACAATCAAGGTTCTGCAAACAAAAGCGGAACAAGCTGAAAGACACGTTGATATAAAACCACAAATGACATAAAATCCACAAAACGAAACTCACCATGACGGGCACATCGTTGCATGGTAACGTCAAACGCAGTATGGTCTGTCTGTCAGCTTCTAAGGTCTGCACCAATGATCATCATGTAGTTACGCTCTCTTGCTGTCACCACATATGCCCCCCCGGCCCAGCTGTGCGGTCATGATTCCTCCAGCAGAGGCTCTAATCTAACCATGTGCTATCCGTGTCAAACTATATGCATGCTATATTTGTGTAGGCTGTAGTGGGGTAGCCAATATGGGGTACAACCCTTTTAGGGTTAGATACTTGTACCCAACTCTCATTCAATGCATTCATTCCTGCTTCTAGATTCGAACATAGTTTCAGAGCAGTAGGTCCGTAGGACCGTTTTTTTTTTTTTTTTTTTTTTTTCGGGCCCACCCTTCGCTAGTGACCGTCTGCGGTTACCGTGCTGCCCCACGCCCTAATCTGCGTCGCGCCGCCCGCGCGCGCTCTGCCTTGCCTTGCCTTGCCGTGAGCGGCCCTAGAGCCCGTACGCGGCCCCTGCCCTTGCCGTGCGCCGCCCCAGAGCCCGCGCGCCCCTCCTGCCTACCCGTCGCGCCGCCCTAGAGCCCGCCGCTGCCCCTGCCTGCCCGTCGCGCCGCCCCAGGGCCTGCACGCGGCCCCCGCCCATGCCGTGCGCTGCCCTAGAGCCCGCGCGTCGCCCCTGCCTGCCCGCCAGGTTACTGTCGTGGCCCCGCCCTACCGCTGTCGCGGCCCCGCCCTGCAGCAACCGACGCGGCCCCGCCAGGTCGCTGTCGCGGCCCCGCCCTGCCGCCGACGTGGCCTCGCCAGGTCGCTGTCGCGGCCCCGCCCTGCAGCAGCTGCCGTGGCCCTGCCCTGCCGCTGTCGTGGCCCCAGCCCTGCAGCTGACGCGGCCCTACTCTGCAGCCGCTTTTGCGGCCCCACCGTCGTCGCCGTCGTGCGCCTACCCTGCCGCTGCCAGCCGAGCGCCGGCCCTGCTCGCTCGGCGAGCGCCTGCCCTTCCCGCCACTGGTGAGCACCTGCCCTACCGCGCTTCCCGCGCGCCTGCCTTGTTAGCGCGCTGCCGCGCCATCTGCCTGCCTGCCTGCCTGCCTGCCTGTCTGCCTGTAGTGCCTGCCCTGCCCGCGCTGCTACTGCTGCTACTGCTGCTACTTCTGTTACCGCTGCTAGGCTGCTGCTGCTGCTACTACTGCTACTGCTGCTACTGGCGGTGGCCAGATGCAGCTCCAGCGACGTCCGCGCGAGTCTCTCACGCCCCAGCAGCTTAGTGAGTGGTACGCTAGTTGGGGTTGTGGCGGTAGCCGTCGTGGCTGTCGCCTTGGAGCTGGTCAGTCGGGAGCGTCTGGCAGTGGCCAGCTGCAGCTGCAGCGGCGTCCGCGTGAGACACTTACGCCCCAGCAGCTTCGTGAGTGGTACGCTCAGAGTAGAGGGTCTCGGAGTACCGTTCGCTGCCCGTACGTCATTCGCACAGGTGCTCGGGCTGGTCAGGCTTGCGGGACACTTGGTCACACACAGTCCCGCTGCTTCGCCCGTCTGAGCGACGCCTGGCGTACCGAGTTTGGCGACGCGGCTGAGCTCCCCACCTGGCTGGAGCTACTTAGGCAGAGGGTATTTATCTTTGCTCTTGACTATGATGCTATTCTCACTGCCATGTATGCGTTGCCTACTAGTGCTGACGGTGCCTGTTACCTGTGTGTACCGCCTGACCCAGGTATAGAGCCTGCTGCTCTAGGTGCTGGTGAGGCTGCTGCTCTAAATAATTGTGCGTCTTCTGCTCTAGGTGCTAGTGAGGCTGCTGCTCCAGGTGCTGGTGAGTCTGCTCTCTCTGGTACTGCGCCTACTGAGGCCTTGTACACCTTCACGCTTGACTCAGGCTGAGATCTACGCCACAACCATGGCTGCACAGGAGTTACGCTGGCTTACCTACCTGCTGACTGACTTGGGAGAGAGGCCTCGTTCTCCTCCAGTTCTGTACGTCGACAACAAGGCCACCATTGCCTTGTGTCAGGAGCACAGACTGGAGCACAGAACGAAGCACATCGCTCTGCGTTACTTCTTGGCTCGAGAGTTGCAGCAGCGCGGTCAGCTTCGTCTTGCACACGTGGCCACTCAGGCCAACACTGCTGATATATTTACCAAGGCACTTCCGTCTGGTGACCATCAGCGCTTTTGTACTTTGTTGGGCCTTGTGCCTACGTTTCCACACTTGTTGTAGACTCTGCTTGTACTGTGATCTCTATATATATATATACCTGCATGTTTGCTCTTGCTAGGTAGTGATCACTGTACTGTTGTTGTTGCATATATGTCTCTGCATGTGAACTGGCCTTGTGGCCCTTTGCTTGTGCTAAGAGTGTGTGGTGACATTGTGATCCACCCTGAGCTTGCTTTGCTTTTCTTGACTGGTCTTGTGACCCCTTGTTCTCTCCCACTTTGCCTATGGGGGTGTGTCAAACTATATGCATGCTATATTTGTGTAGGCTGTAGTGGGGTAGCCAATATGGGGTACAACCCCTTTAGGGTTAGATACTTGTACCCAACTCTCATTCAATGCATCTCATTCTTACTTCTAGATTCTAACAATCCGCACTACTATTGGAGTACGAATACGCTTCCTCTCGACCAAACCGTTCAGTTCTCTGATGGGGTAGCATCTCGAAGTGGATGTTGAGCGCCCTCCAGATCTCACTTGTGTGCTCCAATCCCGTCATTTCATCGTGATCGCCTTCCAACACTCTCGCGGTCCTTAGATGCTGACAATCTCGAAACACATTTCTCCCGTACAAGCCCGGGAACGCGATGATGAAGAGCGATTTGAGGTTACTGAGTCTGGCCATGGATTCAGGCAACGTTCGCAGATTCGGCCAGGAAGATAATGTCAACTGTCTCAAGCGAGAAAGATTTCCAATCTGCTGCGGGAGTTCGGAGAGGCAAGGAATGCCGAACAGGTAGAGGGTTGAGAGTCTGGGCAGTTGGCAAATGGATGTTGTGAAGTCTTTGGTGAGATGCACCCGACCAGCCTTGTCTCTGACCTTGCAGCTGGATGGCCAACCAAACTCGAGTGTCTTGAGGCTGCTGCAGTGCTGGAATAGTGATGGGCTGACTTTCTTGATGTTGTTGCACCTTTTCAAGGAGATAGTTCGAAGAGTGGACAGCCTTGAAATAGAATCTGGAAGGCTAGCCAGATGTCTTAAAGCCCGAGGTCAGCACTAGCTGGAAGAGTAGCGAGAACTGTTTTCGTTGAGAGTACTCTGGCGAAGCAAAACACATGTTCGCCACACGTGTTTTATTCGACAAAAGGCGATTTGGCGACCAAGCTTGCGACCCATCAGATTTGGCGCTGTTGCAGCTAACAACTCACATTCAGTCGCTGTAGAATCCGACCATCGCACACCAGTTAGGGGTTTTAGTGAACACAATTCAGACAACTTGAATTAGTAGGTGCAGCGCGTATATGTAAACGAAGGGAAGCGCAGGCGCAAGATGCGAGTGTGAAGCACGGAGAAAATGGGTGTGAGGAGAAGAGAAAGGGCCGCTTTGCCTACCTCGCGACCCTCGCCCGTCGCCCTTGCTTTCTCTGCCCACCGCCCTCGCCCCGCCCGTCGCCCTCGCTGCCTCCCCGCCCGTCGCCCTCGCTTCATCCGCCCGCCCTCGCTTCTTCCGCCCGCGCTCGCTAATCCCATCCCGTCGACCTCGCTTCCCTCGCCCATCCCCCTCGTTTCCCCCGCCCATCCCCCTCGCTTCCCCCGCCCGTCGCTCTCGCTTTCCCCGCCTACCACACTCGCCTCGCCCTTCGCCCTCGCCGCCTCCCCGCCCGTCGCCCTCGCTTCCTCCGCCCATCTACCCGCTTTCCCCCGCCCGTCGCCCTCACTTCCCCGCCCCATCGCCCGCCCCCTCAAATTCCCCCCTTGATTGCGCTCGGTTTCCCCCCCTAATTGCGCTCAGTTGCCCCCCTGATTGCGCTCAGTTTCCCCCCCTGATTGCGCTCAGATTTCCCCCCTTATTGCGCTCAGTTTCCCCCCCTGATTGCGCTCAGTTTCCCCCCTTGATCGCGCTCAAATTTCCCCCTCTGATTGAAATCAAATCGTATTCGGTTGCTCCAACACTGCAGCCGAGTGCCATTCGGGCAGCGAATGGCAATACGACGGCTGGCAATACGACGGCTGGCTCCTCTGGCAACTCAACCTCCTCTGCTGCCCCTCCTGCCCACACCCCTTGTTGCTCCTGACCCTCTGCCGCACGACAGGCGTCGTCCTTGCTGCCCTGCATGGGCCCATGTCCCCACCTTGCTCCCCACCTTGCCCACCTTCCCACCTCGCCCTCTCCTTCCTCAGTGTGTCCCTCCATGGAAGCCGCCAGCGCCAGGCGTGGCTGCTCTTCCTCCTCGCAGCTCCCCACTGCCGTGAGGAGGAAGTGGTGCATGTGAGGAGGAATCTGAGGGAGGATATGAAGAGCAGACAAGTGGTGCATGTGAGCGCCGTGGAAGAGGACACGGGGAAGCAGGGAAAGGGACATGGGGAAGCGGGGAAAGGGACATGGGGAAGCAGGGAAAGGGATGGGGGGAAGCAGGGAAAGGAACATGGGGAAGCAGGGAAAGGGATGGGGGGAAGCAGGGAAGGGGATGGGGGGAAGCAGGGGATGGGGGGAAGCAGGGAACGGGATGGGGGGAAGCAGGGAAAGGGATGGGGGGAAGCAGGGAAGGGGATGGGGGGAAGCAGGGAAGGGGATGGGGGGAAGCAGGGAAGGGATTGGGGGAAGCAGGGAAGGGATTGGGGGAAGCAGGGAAAGGGATGCGGGGAAGCAGGGAAGGGACATGGGGAAGCAGGGAAGGGGATGGGGGGAAGCAGGGAAGGGGATGGGGGGAAGCAGGGAAGGGGATGGGGGGAAGCAGGGAAGGGGATGGGGGGAAGCAGGGAAGGGGACATGGGGAAGCGGGGAAAGGGACATGGGGAAGCAGGGAAAGGGAAATGGGGAAGCAGGGAAAGGGACATGGGGAAGCAGGGAAGGGGATGGGGGGAAGCAGGGAAGGGGACATGGGGAAGCGGGGAAAGGGACATGGGGAAGCAGGGAAAGGGAAATGGGGAAGCAGGGAAAGGGACATGGGGAAGCAGGGAAGGGGATGGGGGGAAGCAGGGAAGGGGATGGGGGGAAGCAGGGAAGGGGACATGGGGAAGCGGGGAAAGGGACATGGGGAAGCAGGGAAAGGGAAACGGGGAAGCAGGGAAGGGGATGGGGGGAAGCAGGGAAGGGGATGGGGGGAAGCAGGGAAGGGGATGGGGGGAAGCAGGGAAGGGGATGGGGGGAAGCAGGGAAGTGATGGGGGGAAGCAGGGAATGGGACATGGGGAAGCAGGGAAAGGTATGGGGGGAAGAAGGGAAAGGAACATGGGGAAGCAGGGAAAGGGGATGGGGGGAAGCAGGGAAAAGGGATGGGGGGAAGCGGGGAAGGGGATGGGGGGAAGCAAGGAAAGGGATGGGGGGAAGCAGGGAGGGGGATGGGGGGAAGCAGGGAAGGGGATGGGGGGAAGCAGGGAAGGGGATGGGGGGAAGCAGGGAAGGGGATGGGGGGAAGCAGGGAAGGGGATGGGGGGAAGCAGGGAAGGGGACATGGGGAACCGGGGAAAGGGACATGGGGAAGCAGGGAAAGGGAAATGGGGAAGCAGGGAAGGGGATGGGGGGAAGCAGGGAAGGGGATGGGGGGAAGCAGGGAAGGGGATGGGGGGAAGCAAGGAAAGGGATGGGGGGAAGCAGGGAGGGGGATGGGGGGAAGCAGGGAAGGGGACGGGGGAAAGCAGGGAAATGGATGGGGGGAAGCAGGGAAGGGGATGGGGGGAAGCAGGGAATGGGACATGGGGAAGCGGGGAAGGGGATGGGGGGACGCAGGGAAGGGGATGGGGGGAAGCAAGTCAGAGGATGGGGGGAAGCAGCGTGGGAAACCCTGGGGAAACAGGGAAGAGGATTGGGGGAAGCGGGACGTGGGGATCGGGGGAGATGCCGGGGAGAGAGCTGGGGGGAGGACGGTGGGGAGCCTGCAAATGATGTGGGGAACCCTGGAGAGAGGTAAGCAGTGTGGTGGTGAAAGACGATCATTGGGGGAAGGGAAGGGTGTGTGCGGGTTGGAAAGGGGGTGTGACAAGTTTGCGAGTTGGGAAGGGAGAAGGGAGGGATGGCAACAGTGAACGGGATGGGGGGAAGCAGGTAACGGGATGGGGGGAAGCAAGGGAAGGGGATGGGGGGAAGCAGGGAACGGGATGTGGGGAAGAAAGGGAAGGGGATAGAAAGAAGCAGGGAAGGGAGGGATGGCGAGGGCAACGTGGAGTGGATGGGAGGGCGAGAGAGAGGGAGATTGCGAGGGGACGAGCGGGAAGGAGGGCGACGAGACGAAGGGGGGCAACGGGCGGAAGGGAGCGCGGCGAGGGGAAGGAAGGGCGGCGGGCGGAAGGGAGCGCGACGAGGGGAAGGAAGGGCGGCGGGCGGAAGGGAGCGCGACGAGGGGAAGGAGGGGCGGCGGGCAGAAGGGAACGCGACGAGAGGAAGGAAGGGCGGCAGGCGGAAGGGAGCGCGACGAGGGGAAGGAAGGGCGGCGGGCGGAAGGGAGTGCGACGGGCGGAAGGGAGTGCGACGGGCGGAATGAGTGCGACGGCGGAAGGGAGTGCGACGGGCGGATAGGAGGGCGACGGGCGGAAGGGAGGGCGACGAGCGGAAGGGAGGGCGGCGAATGGAAGGGAGAGTCGAGGTGAAGCGTGGGCGGCGTAAGGAAGCGTGGGCGACGTAAGGAAGCGTGAGAGACGTATGGAAGCGTGAGCGACGTACCTAAGCGTGGGCAACGAGCGGAATCATGAACGACCCGAGGAAGTGAGTAACGGGAGCCAAGGAACCGTAGGCGTCGCGGGCAGGCGAAGGCGATGGGGAATCCTAAGATCAGCAAACATGCTTTACAGGGCAACCCTAATTCACTGACAGAAACGGAGAAACGGAGTGATTCTTTGGGCGTGAATGGCGGGTGAACTACGTAGGTATGCTTGACAATAAGTACCAGATGGTTTTCAAGTTCAGTTCAAGTGAACAGTGCTGCCTTGCCAGCTGACCCTCCGCTTGGTATGACTTTGAGTGTCGCTGGCCAAGCACGGATCAATATCGTGACAGAATGCTCCACTTTGGGTGGTAACATGGTAATTTGCGAATTCATATTCAGGAATCTTGAACTTGAAAACAGCCATATGGAACTCGGGCTTTAACTTGCACAGCTCCAGTTGCTCGAGAGATGGCAGGAGACCTATGGTATCGGGGAGGAGGTCAAGCAATCTGCACCTTTTGATCACCAGACGACGGAGGTTGAAAAGGTTGCTCATGGAGTCAGGAAGCCAACAAAACTTCCAGCAATTGTGGATGGTGAGTTCCTCGAGTGAAGTGAGAGAAGAAACCGCGTTTGGAAGGTTGAAAAGTCTTCACATTTTCGCAGCACAAGGATCTGTAGAGAAGGGAGCTGAAAGAAGGAATCTGGCAGCTTGTAGACGCAAGTAGTGTAGGTTCTGAAGCTCGCTAATGGTCTCAGGAATGCCAGACAACCATTCCATGCTACTAATGCTGAGTCTAGCCAGCGAGGAGAGCCCACCGAATGAATCGGGTAAATGGACGAGGCCCTCAATCCCTGATGAATGTAGCTTAGTCAGTCCGGTGAGTTGACCAAGAGAAGTTGGAAATTCAACACAGTTCAGGCACCTATGTGTCATGGTCTTAAGGAGAACAAGCTTGTCAAACTGGTCTGGAAAGTTGACGATCCCGACTTGAATATGAACGTAAGTTAAAAGGCAGGGAGAAAAAGGACAGTGGGAGACAGTCGATGGTTGCGTAGAATTGTAGGGAAAGGTGCTGAAGGCTATTGCATGCAGTGAACAGTGCGTCCAATCCAGCTTCTGTTACCCTGGCGCCTGGCGATGGACCCCCAAACAACGAGACGGGTCGAGATTCGTGGAGGTCAAAGTAGATTAACTTGGGAGAGGCAGAACCAAGGCCGATAAGGAACTCGTCACTGAAATCGCGGATCCTGCGTCTGTCAATCATCAGCGAGGTCAGCTCTTGGAACCGCGACAAGGATCGAAGAAGGCGGGCGGTTTCGGTAAGGCGACCAGAAACATTTGAAACGGCCGTTTGCGTGAGGCGAGCAAGATGGAGCCATTGCTTGCAAACCACAGCGTGGTTGAGAGATGGCTGGTTCAACAGACGGAAGATGTGGCAAATGAGGTCGTCAGACAGTAGATCTAACGATTCTCGCGGCAGCATGAAACGTCATCGAGACGAGGCCCATTGGTCGCGAACCCAGGTCCTCGACGCTAGATCTCTTCCACACCCAGACATTGTTATGAAGTTTTGTGAAAACTATGAGGCAAGAATGATTGGATTGAAAGAAACAAGAGTACAAGTAGGAAACCCTAGTTGGGGTTGTACCCCATATTGGCTACCCCACTACAGCCTACAAACATATAACACATTTATACTTTGACACACCCTCATAGGCAAAGTGGGGGAGAGCAAGGGGTCACAAGACCAGTCAAGCAAAGCAAAGAACAAGCTCAGGGTGGATCACAATGTCACCACACTCTCTGAGCACAAGCAAAGGCAACTAGGCCAGTTCACATGCAGATTTATATAGGAGAACACAAGTAGTACAGTGATCAAAGCCTAGCAAGTGCAAGCATGCAAGGACATATATATAGATCACAGTAGAAACAAAGTCAAGAAGTAAGCAAGTGAGAGAACGTGGACACAAGGCCTAACGCAGTGCAGTGCCGCTGATGATCACTAGGCGGAAGCGCCTTGGTGAATATATCAGCAGTGTTGGCCTTCGAGTCCACGTACGCAAGGCGAAGCTGACCACGCTGCTGCAGCTCTCGAGCCAGAAAGTAACGGAGAGCAATGTGCTTCGTTCTGTGCTCCAGTCTGTGCTCCTGACACAAGGCAAGAGCTGCCTTGTTGTCGCCGTACAGAACTGGAGGAGAACGAGGCCGCTCACCCAGGTCAGTCAGCAGGTAGGTGAGCCAGCGTAGCTCCTGTGCAGCCATGGCCGTGGCGTAGATCTCAGCCTCGCAACTGGAGCTGAGAACAGAAGAAGAGCGAGTGGAACGCCAAGAGACAGAACCAGAGCCAAGGCTGAAAGTGTAACCCTGTGACGATCGCTGCGTAGCTAGGTCGTCAACCCAAGAGGCGTCTGAGTGTCCAGTGAGGACAACTGAGCCCTGTCCTCCAAGCACCAGCCCCATGCCTGATGTACTGCACAAGTAGCGCAGCACCCTCTTAGCAGCCTCCCAGTGCTCTCGCCTGTGTCTCCCAGGTGCGACGTAGCGAGCTAGGATGCTAAGAGGGTACGCAAGGTCAGGTCGAGTGCAGGTCATCAGGTACATGAGGCAGCCCACAAGCTCTGGGTACGGGCCACTCGGCTCTACGGACTCGTCCGAAGGTGGAGCTGAGAGCGAGTGGCTGGTAGACAGAGGAGTGGACTGAGGTGAGGAGAACTGGAAGCCGAAGCGCTGAAGGACCTGCTGCACCATGTGTGACTGAGTCAGGGTGATGGTGCGGCGTGCTCTGTCCCTGGTGATCTGCAAGCCAAGGTAACTGCGCAGCTCACCCAGGTCTGTGCACGTGTGTCTCTTCTGCAGCTCCGACTTCACAAGAGCAAGTGCCTCAGTGTCAGCAGTAGCAAAGACTAAGTCGTCGACGTACACGAGGATGTAGAACGGCGGCAGCGACGTGTCTGTGCGCAGGAACAGTGAAGGGTCTGCAGTGGAGGGAGCAAACCCAAGAGCCGCAAGTGTCGTCCTCAGTGTGTCGTGCCACTCACGTGGCGCCTGACGGAGACCGTAAACTGGCCGTCGGAGGCTCCACTGGGTACCAGGAGGGAAAGACCCAGTGAAGCCAGGAGGACGGCGCAGCCAGATCTCCTCGTGCAGGCTGCCCTGCAGGAAAGCTGTGCTGAAGTCAAGAGAGTGAAGCTCGTAGTCACGCTGAGCGGCAACGTGCAGCAGCACCCGAAGAGTGGTCATCTTCGGGGTAGGGGAGAAGGTCTGGAAGAAGTCAACTCCCTATCGCTGACTGAAGCCTCGGGCAACGTAACGAGCCTTGAAGACAGGCGGAGAACCCGGCGGCCGCTTCACCCTGAAAATCCACATGCCACTGACGATGTTCGCCCCAGGAGGGGGAACGTCGTCGACGTAAGTGCCAGTGGACTTCCAGGATGCCATCTCTGCGTCCATGGCTGCCTGCCACTGAGAGGAGTAGGGACCCGCGATCGCCTCAGCGTAAGATCGCGGGGTAGGGATGTCTATAGCATCCGGGTCTCCCTCAGGGGCAAGCAGCATGGCCACGAGATGAGGCGCAGCGGCTGCAAGACACTCAAGGTCCTCGTGCCTGTCCTCAAGGACGTCCGTGCCAAGAGCATACTCACCCCCGACGGACGGAGGACAGACAGACTCAGACTCAGCAACAAGGCTAGCAGCGTAGTCTAGACGACAGGCAACAGCAAAGTCAACAAGCTCAGCGACCAAGGCAGACGCAGCAGAAGACTCAAACGAGGGGTCAGTGACAACAGTGGCTAGCAGACGCGTGACAGTAGGGTGCTCAGCACAAAACCGGTCAGACTCAGGGTCGGGAACGTCAGGCAGAGAGGACGCAGGGGGAGACGGCAGAGGAACACGCTGCTGAGTGGGAGAAGGACGTCTGACAACCAGGGGCGTGCTGCGAACAGGCGGCTGTCGCAGACTAGAGACACGACGACCGGAACGACCAGGACGGACAGGCGAGACAGGACGTGATGCGGGCTCACGACGCTCAGTAAGACCTCCTGGCTGCTCAGAG